AATTTGATTAATAAAAAATATTTAAATATAGAGGAAACATTTTATTCTTTGTCATTTTCACATGTGATATCAATGTTTTATTCTTATCACGAATTGAGAGAGCCATATCTTTCATTTCAATATCATAACACTTTTCAAGTAATTGTCCCGAGCTTAGAATATTATTTTTAATATCAAAAACATAATAAACATATGAAATGCATAATTCTTTGCCATTATTAAGTTCAAAGAGAATTTTATCGTTGCCTCTTACTGGTCTTTGAGACAAATCACCAAATGTAATGTTCCCGGAATAACTTGTATCATTTCTGAAAATAGCTTTTTGATGCCACACATGTGATTTGGGGCTCCTGTATCTAAATATCATGTCATAGACCGATCATCTTTCAAATTATCATAACTCATTAGTAAAACTTGATTTTTATTCTTTTTTTCCTTAACAAAATTTGTCTTATCACCTTGATTGTTATGATTACAATAATATTCATAAGAGTAATATCCATATTTTTACAAATATAATATTATATTTTAGACCTTTTAGAGTTTCTATCACGCCCACCGCCTCGGCCATGTCCTCGACCATAATCTCGACTTTTTTTATTAGACTTTTCTCCATCATCTTCATTATTTGGAGATTCTTGATTGGTTTGATTTTTGCCTCCTCTTCCTTTTTGTCCACGTCCTCTTCTTCTTTTTATAATCCTTTGTTGATGAACTTAAAGGAACCCATAAGTTTTTCTAAAGATATTTTTTCTAAATCTTTAGATTCTTCAATCGTAACAACAATAAAATCAAATTTTAGATCTAGAGATCTCTATTTTTTTTTCTATTACTCTTTGATCACTTATTTGTTCACTATTTCATATCATTTGATGAACAATAGAAATGATTTTTAAGAAGTAATCAGAAATAGTTTCAGAAGTACCTTGTTATAATTTTTCAAACTTGGCTCATAAAACTTGTAGATGAAGTTTCTTTACCTTATCAACATCACATAATGCTTTTTTGAATTATTTCCCAAGCCTCCTTTGAAGTATTTGCTGGAGCGATGATCTCAAACATTGTATCATCAAACCCTTGGTAAATCATAAACAGAGCCTTTTTTTTTTCTTCTTTCTTCTTTCTTCTTTCTTTGAGTTGTTTTCTTCCTTCTTCATTCATTGCTCCTTCTTCTACTAGACTTGGTTTAATAAATTCATCTTCTACAAACACTCATACATCTTGGGAGCCTAAAAGAACCTTCATTTGGATGCACCATATATCATAATTCTTTTTTGTCAATATGGGGATCTGGAGTTGGTTGGTACTTGAGGAAGATGTTATAACTTAACTTATGTTCTGATACCAAATATTGATCTTGATAGGAAGAAGGGATAGAGTTACCAAATAAAGGAGGAGTAGGACAAACTTCAATCTTCTATATTTCTCTAAAGAAAACTTTTTACAATTTTAGAAACTCTATCTGTTTCATGACCCAATATATGGGGTTTATATAATCCCCAAAGATATATTAAATTAATTATATTTAAAATGAATTATTCTTTTTAAAAATTCTTTCAAGAATCAATAACCAATTTGATTTATCTTTTCATAAACATTTAATCTATTTTTTTAATCTCTTATTTTTTTCAATAAACCTTTCTTTTCGATGGAATTAATCTTTTATGACACTTAACAGGTTTAATTCCAACGCTTAGTGTTCTTAAATTTAGAGGGCGAGGGAGGCGGAGGTAAACATCGAGGTCAAAGTGTGCTGGGTTTTGTTCTCTTTTGGTTTCATAACGTTGGAAGGAAGAAAGGAAGGTAAGGCTTTTCTCCACTGCAAACAGTGCAGCGAAAAGTGACGAGCAACAGTGAGCTGAGTCGAGTCGTCATGAGCGCCGAGACACTCCCCCCGCAACCGCCGCCTCTGCCCGCAACGGATCCACCGAGCAGCCCCACGCCAAGGATCTCCATAGTGCATGGTCCTGTTATCGTCGGCGCCGGACCCTCCGGCCTCGCCGTCGCCGCTTCCCTCCGCCGCCTCTGCGTGCCCTCGGTTATACTCGAGCGGTCCGACGGTATCGCCGACCTGTGGAGCCACCGCATGTACGACCGCCTCACCCTCCACCTCCCCAAGCCCTTCTGCCAGCTCCCGCATCTCCCCTTCCCTGCCTACTTCCCGTCCTACCCCTCCAAAGACCACTTCCTCGGATACTTGCACGCCTACGCCCACCACTTCTCCCTCCGCCCGCTCTTCGGTTGCACCGTGATGGACGCCCGGTTCGATCCAGCCGTCTCCCTCTGGCGAGTGACGGCGATCCGCCGCGACCTCTCCGACGTCCCCATGCAAGCCCTGTCACCGTCTCGATCCAGCGACTCGCTCTCGGAGTCGAGCCGGTCGACGTCGTCGGTCTCGAGCGAGACCTTGACAGAGCCGAGGGAGCCGGAGGTGGTGGAGTTCCTTTCGCCATGGCTGGTGGTGGCGACGGGGGAGAATGCAGAGCCGGTGGTGCCGGAGATCAAGGGAGCGGAGGGGTTCGAGGGGAGCCTGTTGCACTCGAGCGAGTACAAGAGCGGGGTGGAATATGAGGGGAAGAGGGTATTGGTCGTGGGGTGTGGGAATTCCGGGATGGAGATATGTGTGGACCTGTGCGAGCACGGAGCAATGCCCTTCATGTCAGTGCGAAGTGGGGTACGTTTGTTTTTCCTCTGTTTCTTGAGCAACCGCGAGCGATGGATTTGTATTCGACTGCTTCGATTGTTTCGGTGGTCTCCGATGCATGTTCATCTGATGAATCGAGATTCAACAACATTTGACGTGTTTCTTGTGAAAGCAGGTGCACATTTTGCCGAGGGAGATGTTGGGGACCTCCACGTTTGGCGTGGCGATGAAGCTGCTCAGATGGTTGCCAACCAAAGTGGTGGATAGGTTCCTGTTAATCATGGCCAAGATGATGATCGGAGACACTGAGAAGTATGGTCTGAAGAGGCCAAAGGTTGGCCCTCTGGAGCTCAAGAACACAACCGGCAAAACCCCCGTTCTGGATGTGGGAGCCCTATCGCGCATCAAAGACGAACGTATCAAGGTACTTGAATGCACCAAAAACCCACATCGACGCTTCTTGGAATTCCTTGTTCTTCTTATCGTTTTCTTCTTCCCCCCGTGGATCGTTCGAGCGTCACGAATGCTCGCCATCGATCTCACCACACATCGTTTCATGTGGTTCATCGTTTGATGAAGCTCGCTTACTCCTTGGATCGGAATGCGTCATCATTTCATTTGGTTTTTGACATAGCAATTATAGACAGCTCTCGCTGTGTGTGCGGTGCGCGCGCTGTAAAGTGTTTCTGTAGCCGCATCTGTGATTTCTAATAGCACATCGCTGCTCTTCTCGCTGACAATGGCAGATAGTATCAGAGGTGGAGTCACTAACAAGCAACGGAGCCAAGTTCGTGGACGGGGGAGAGATGGCGTTCCACGCGGTGGTGTTCGCAACGGGGTACAAGAGCAATGCCCCACTCTGGCTCAAGGCAATCTCCTCTTTCCACTCCCTCCCCCCACCCCGACTCGATTCATCTTTTTGGTCGTGCTTTAAGAAGCCAAGGACATCTTTCCCATGGACGTACTTGAAAGAGCACAAGAACTGTACTGTCACGGAACAAGTCATCTAAATGTAGCCTTTTCCCCAGAGAAAAAATGGTGTTGCTGTCTCATGCGAATGTTTGTTTCGCCTTGTAGGAGGCTGGTGTTCTCACAGCGGAAGGCAAGCCGGAGCACTCGTTCCCTAATGGAGAGAAGGGCATCTACTTTGTAGGCTTTTCAGGGAAAGGTCTTCTTGGCGCCAGCGTCGATGCCATCAAGACTGCTCTCGATGTATCTGCAAGATGGACACGCCTCTCAGAGAGCAAAGATGTTGGTCTCTAAGCCCACCACTTGCTGATGATACCAATGCGACTGCACGTGAGCAAGGAAGCCACATGGTGGCTGCCCTTCATGGTGTTTTGGTTCTGTGGCTCCCTAGAGAGAGATAGAGAGAGAGAGAGAGATGAGAGCTTAAAACCTGCTGTCCTACTCTCTGTACATGACAAATTCTGCATAGGATCTTCTTTGTCTCGCTTGGAGAAGGATACAAGAGAGCAGTAGTTATCCTCCATGTCGATGTCAATGCTGCCCTCGTCTGTCTCCTCGTGGTGGCCCTTCTCTGTTAGCATTTTGTGCTGTCTTTTTCTCTTCTTGACCTTGGGGGAGAGAGAAAGAGAGAGAGAGAGAGAGAGAGAGAGAATTCCTGAAATCCCAGTTTGCGTTGGGAATGCTTTCCGGCATTGTTTTCCCCCTGAGGAGGAGGCTCTCACTGCTGCCTCTGAGGAGTCTTCCTTGTCTCGACTCCCTCAGCTACTACAGTGTACTGGGCCCCCACCCGCTCCCTAACCCCTGTTCCTCTGGTACACGGTTGCGTAGTCCGGAGGGGCCCTCCCACTGACCAAACCAATAGACCCTCGATGATGATCACATGATTGCCACAGTGACGAGTAAATGATTGGGTGGAACATGGCATTTTTTTGGATGATGACGGGAACCAAAGAAATAGCAACAGTGTTGATAAGAAAGCCAAGTCACGTCTCGGAGATGCTGTCTGTCTCGACATGCATTGGTGACAGGCATTGAAAAGGAAAACAAAGCCTCATACAAGCTGAGGTTCTGATGCAGCTTCTTAAGCTTCATTATGCGTCTCGGACAAGGTTGTCATTGAGGAGAGGGATAGATCTCGGACAAGCTTCATTATGAGTCTGCTTCAGATCCAATGTCTATGCCTAGCACTCGTTTTCTTTATCTGGAAGATGAGACTAGATTTGTCTTGCGGCTGGAATCTGTAGTTGTAGATTCATTCTTAGATCTGATCCGAAGCAGAAATGGACGTGCTTGGTTTGGTTGGGCCTGATAGTTGCGGAATTCTTTGTCTCCACAAACCTTTGATTTAGAATATCTAAACTCAAATTAATAATAATACGCTCATCAAATCCTACGTTTACGATTAGAGTAGTTCATTCCTATTTCAATCTATTACCGTTCTCCAAAACCATTAGTCAAAACTAAAACCAAAAGTACTTTTGATTTTCTTACGTCCAACTTGTTCTAGTTTTTTACTTTCCACACTAGAAAAATTAAGGCAGCTCCTTACGATTGCGGAAGTTTACAGTGTCAATCCATTGTAGTATGATGCTCATAACATAGCTCATTTGTTACGATCAAAACTATTTAAGGGCAGAGTTCCAATGTAAATGGGCCATAGAGTGCAATGTAAATAGGCGAAGGAGCATTAGTTTAAGCAAAGACGTTGTTTTCTTGGCAATTCACACACGACGACGACACTAAAAGTTCCTCCTTGTTGTCATCCTAATAGAATCTTAGTACGCAACGCCATTGGAGAGTAGAGAGGCAAATGACTGTTACGCCATTCTCGACACACATTTTTATGCGGATGGGTTGAAGTATGCAGCAAAGAAACCCTAAATCCTTACGAATTGTCACGCTTCTCCTCGGTTGTACACTGCCAGAATCTCTGGGCACCATTTCCTATCGGGACCTTAGAATCTAACATATCCAAGCTTCAGAAATATGGAGTTTCCATGAGAAAAAGGACACAGTAGATTTGTCATTATTCATATGTTGCACAGTGTGCAGTCATAATCGACAAACCCACAGTACCATCTCTAGCCAGCTAGATCCTTTGCTTTGCTTCGCTTCATGTGAGAAGAGAAGGAGAGAGAGAGAGAGCACTGAGAGAGATTCACGTGAGAATGGAGAAGACGTAAGTAAGAGGGCAGGTCTCGATGTGAGGAATGACAGAACCATTCCTTCCTTCTACCTTTCTCCATATCTTCCCTGTGGAACTCTTTTGCATGGTACTCAAATGGCATGTGACGCCCTGCCGCATGACCCAGTGGCCGGAGCCCTCGCCCGGCAGGGTTTTGGAGTTTGCGGGAGGCTGCTGTATGGTCAAGGGTGTAGCTTCCGCGGGCACGCCAGCCCTTCTTCCTCTCTGCTGAGATTCGTGCCCCTCGCACCCCTTTTCATGCACGCTCGCTCCCATCATATCTTCATCATCACAGCCTTCACGTCTGTGGTCCTGTCCATCGCTCTCTTGGATCAAGGTACGTATATCCCATCTTCCCCTCTGTCATCTCACCATGCGTGTGTGCCGAGTCTTTTCTTCTTGTTGCATAAACCCAGCAACTCCGTGAGAGGAATGTTGTGCGTGAGGAAAACGAATGCAACACCTCATGATTCGATCTATTAGTTTGTGCATGAGACGGCGAGGAAAATGAGGAGCCTCCTCACCCGAACGGAGTATATACGTGATGGCTTAGGACGAGACGTAAGCATGCGAACCCACTTTTTGGCCGCGAGAGAGAGATGGCGGACCGACTGACGGCGGCAGCGAGGCCATGACGTCACGCCCAAGCTCGTGGGGCTCGCGCTGCCGTGTCAGTTTCCGGAGCCGTCCACGGTGGTCCCACTGCGCGCGTGACTTGATCGCAGCGGCCCTTTCGCCGTGTCTTTTTCCCTTTCTTTTATCTTCCGAAGCGTCGTCATTCGCCGCAGGCTGAGGCACGCCGAGAGCGACGGGTCAACGTCGTGCTTCTCTGACCCCGTGTTGTGTGTGTGTGTGAGAGAGAGAGAGAGACCACGCAAATGGACTCTTTGACCACTGGGCCAGTCCCCGTGAACAGGCACTGGAGAGAGAAAGAGAGAGAGTGGAGCTGTTCCATCCCATCGGTGCAGGCAATCAATTCCCACACCGAAGGGCAGCAGAAAACAAAGGCCGTATCTGATTCCATCTGCCACATGATTGCCACCCACCTACTACTACGCCCAGAGGGAGAAGAAAATGGCCTTCTTGTCCTTCCTGCACTTGCAATAAACAAAGATCTAAACCGCAAGGCTGCTTCTCATATTCATTCACCGAAGAAGAAGGAAGCACATCTTTAGTCGTTTGATAGCTTCAGTAGGTGAGCCATGATGTTGAAGAGACGGAGAAGGTACGTGTTGCCTGCTATGATAACTTTCAGCTCACATAGACAGCGCCGAATGTGGCGTCTGAAGCTCCATCGATGGGTGAATCCTGATCATGGATGCAATCAGTGACTGCTGCGGCTTTAACCACCCACCGAGGAACTGGATGTACAAGAAACCTTACGTGGACCGTCAATTGAGCCCAATCAAGCCCATGATGGGAGCCCAAAAACCTCTAATAGCTAAGATCGAAAAGAAAATGTAGAATAGATTTGGTGGTGTTGGGTTGACCGAGTCCAACTTGGCGTTTTAAGTACACCAAGCTCAGTGCTCGCAGACTCGTCCTGCGCTTCCCTTCCCACGCGCTGAAATGGCCAACGGAGGACTAACGGTCGTCGACGGTAGCACACTGCGGGCCGACGATCTCCGTCTCCCGCTCCCTGACGGCGCCGTTTCTGGCGCCCGTCTCCTCCAGCACGCCGAATCCGAGGTCGCCGCTCGCCTCTTCGGCCTCTCCTTGCCGGATCCCCTCCGATCCGCTGCCTTCCGGCGGTTGGCCGGAGGCGACGCCCGATCCTTCGAGGAGGAGATCATCGACGCCGACTCCGTGAAGCGGAAGGTCCGCGAGTATCTCCTCGCACTCGCCGATGATCTAGCAGGTCGAGTTTCCCGCTAAAGATCTCTGCTCTTCCGTGCATCACTTTTGGTCCTCTTATCATGTTTACTTAGGGCAATTAAGCTGTCGGCTTCTCGAATTTGTGTTGTTTTCACCACAATGGACGATGATCGGCGGCAGACATACGAAGGGTTTGTCTTCCTCGGTGGTTTTATAGATTTCTTGAAAGTTGTTGCAATACATCGATGGCTGTAGATTTGTTACTGTCTTGATCGTTAGATTTAGATGGAAGGGTTCGCTGGATGATGAAGGGCAGTTGAAAAGAAGCTCCTTTGTTGGTGATGCTTTCAATGTAGAAATTAAACAAAAGTACAAAGCAAGACAAAGGCAATCTTGTGCTGATTAACATAATCTTTGAAAGGGTTTGATCAATTTTAGAAACCGAGAACAATGGGAGTGGAGTTGGTGCGCATTATGAGGGAGCAGACCTTTAGGATGAACTGTGCCTTTTCTTTAACTTCTGGTCTCATCTTCTTGTTCCAGTGGTGCATCAATTTTTATGTTTTGCAATTAGAATATTTTTATGTGGAAAAAATTTTTCCCCTCTTTTATTTTCTTTTCTTTGTTTTGTTTTGTTAAGTTTACATTGATCCATCAATTTGGATAAACTTCTTTTATGCTTTCCTGTATGAAACAGAAATAAATTTTGCATAGCATTGCCAGAAGCTTTCCTGTCAAATTTCACTTCGATCCGACCTTGTAATCTACTATGATTTGTCATGCATGGTTTTCTACATCGTCGGATCCTTCATCTTTAAATCGAAATCGTGTAACTAAGGCAATATTTGCTCCACTACAACAAATTGAGTATGCAAATAGAGGAAGGAAGAGAAATGTAATGACTAAATCTGCGCCAAGCATGTCTTGCTGTAGTTGATATTTCGAGGTACCAAGTCTATAATTGTCTTTATTTTCCTTATTTTTGACAACCACACAGAAACTATAACTTATACAAGTGTGCTTTACAGATGCTTCAGAAATTTCTTCTGAAGTTATATACAAGATTTAGCACTCTTTGTGCTCTTGCCATTCAGTTTCGTTGACTATAACTGGATCTCTTTAAACCTTTCAGATGATCCTCTTGCTATTTTGGTATTGGATGGAAGTGCTCTACGAGTTTTTCTAGACGATGAAGATGATTTTGCTATGTTGGCGGAGAATCTTTTTACCGATCTGGATGTAGACGACAGAGGAAAACTCAGCAAAAAGAAGATTCAAGATGCTCTTGTTCTTATGGGGGTGGAAATGGGGGTTCCTACATTTTCAGGTTGGTCTTTCAATGTACAACATATTTCATTTGCAAATAATCATATTACATAGTGCATGACCACATGAAAATCATAATTACAGTAAAGCATATGAGTATATATATCCTACAAAAAGAGTCAAATTCTCGCTTGAATGTTCTCATTTTGGTCATCTATGTTTTTTTTTTTAAATGAATTATGACATGGCAATTATAGATTTAAAGAAACACCTCCCAAAATTGGTTTACCTCCTATATCTTAGAAACCAGAACCTGTTGGTATATACTGTCCTGCTCATTCATTGCCATTATGCTGTCCTCTTCCATAATCTTCTACTTTTTGTGTGAAGACAATTCAAGTACAATTTCTTGACACTCAGTGTATAGGTTTTGTATTCCTATGGTATTTATAAGGTCACTCATAAACTTATTCTTTCTTCAGTTTGTCAATCTTTCATGGTTTAAAACAGCTTGCAGTTTTATTGTTGTTTCATCAAATATCTTTACAAGCATAGTCTATGAGAAAATTTCATTGTAATTTTGCATATTGTATCATATAAAACTTTTGATCCTGTATCATGGATCTTTTTTTGTTTATCACACAAATGAATGCTTTTCTATATTAAATTTGTTTAAGTACTTCCACAGGTTGAGGCACGAAAATACTATGACTAGCGTTACACAATCAATTATTTTCAGTAATGTGTCATTTTCATATCTAAAGAAGCTAAGCACATGCAAGACAGATAAGATTCCTTTTATTTACAGTTCTTTTTCATAATCTGAATTGCACACTTGGATTGAAAATAGGTGAAAACTCACATCTTTTGTTCTTCATAATCAATAATATATAGCACATCAAAATCAAATTTGCGCTTCTCCTACTTAATATAGACAGGTAAATTCTAACCTGATTTTTGGTTGGGTCACAAATTATATCAGGAACAATAAGCTTTCAGATTAGATTCCTCTTATCTTCATGTACCATCAAAAAAGAGCCATCATTTTGGAATCTCCTGTAATTGCTATGTCATAATAATACATGCACTCTCTCTTGTTTATATAAAGGACAGAATGAAAATTTTTCCTCTTGACTCCATTGTGCGATCCTTTTAATTTTGTGTCAAATAGCTTTCATTGTCTTGCCATTTATGGATGTGGGTCACTTTTTTATTTAGTGATTTTCATGAAACCATAATAAGCCATGATAACAATGTCATTTGCCACTCTTTTGCTGGGACCTCTTTGCGTATTCAATAGCCATACGCCTATATCGCTGCTGCATGTATCACTGTGTTATGCTGAAACAACCTCACTTTGATATACAGGTAAATCAATGTTCTGTTTTTCATACTATTCTCGAAAGGACAATATTTTCAAGTACATGATGTTCTATTTTGTGATGTATACAGAACACAGTGATCTTTTTAGTAACATATTAAGGAAACATGGAGCAGAAGGAGAACAACAGCTGGGCCAGGCACAATTCGCACAATTACTTCAGCTCATTCTGCAAGATCTTGCAGACGGTTTGGCTGAAAAGCCTGTTGTAGTTATCCAAAATTTGAAGGTTGTTAATGGCTCTAAGATAAAAAAGGTATGAGATTATTTTCATATTAATTTCCCATGTTAGATGTCAGTAATTCTTTGTAGATCATGAAATGAGAAAAACTATCAATTCCCTGGTCGATCAGATAGCTTCAATGATAAAAATAAATAGAAAACAGCACAATAAAATCTGATGCTGAATAAGGAATTATTTGCCATCAAGCTTGAGAAGATTCATAGTTCTGAGGATTGTTAGTTTCGCATAAAATACGGTGTTCTTTTGATTTGTTGTGCACTTCTCTTAAAGATCTGACAAAAAATTTTGGATTCGGAAAAATACCAAAGTTGATGAGGAGATACCTATCAGAGATAACAAATTAATACTTTTCTTGATGCCTAACTCCATCTCTTAGTTATCAAGTTTGTCTACTTCCCAGCAAAGTATGCTTAACATTTCTGTTTGTTTGCAGTTGTTAGAACATAAGGAGCTCCTCGATGATGAGATGGAGAGCATGTTTGGAGATTGGAATGCTCGCGGTCGTGGAGAGGGAAACATGGAGCGATTGCAGGGTCTCCTCAAGGCAAAAGGATCCAGACTAGGCCTGCCTCCAGCTGAGTCTAACGAAGCAGTAGCGCTTCTCTACGACCAAATCTTCTCAGAGATCAAGGAAGAAGTGATCGCCGGAGAATTGACAAGAGATGCATTCCACATTGTTGTTAGTGATATCATGGAAAAGCTTGTAGATCAACTCGAAGCAAACCCCATCTTTACTGACATGGGGAGTTGAGGCATGTCGTGGTTCTCTCTTCAATGTACCCCATCTTTAAATATGAAGTCTCTCCCGAATGAATTTGTGGCTGGAGGTCAATATGTTGACCTATTATCACACACACGAAGAGTGCAGATAACTACAATGTTGATTTCTCTTTTGTTTTATATGATATGATCTATCATTATGTATGGAAATGACATTTAAGCATCATAGAATTTGTACGACAGCTATCCGATATGTATACAACACAGATGCCATTTTTCTATTAGAAACAGGTAATCTTGTTTCGATCGAGTACAGATCTTATGATGTCGATTTGAAGTACAAATCTTTTGATGTCCATTCTAACGAATTATGAATTCCATGTGAGATATATATATATATATTTCAGGTTTCATTCGATCGGGTATGCTTTCAGAAAGGCGGCTGACAACAACCCCGGAGACGATGGTGGGTTTCTCTAGGAAGAAGAAGACCCGGAATGGTCAGGATCACGCACAAGCCGAGTCCCGAATCTGGCAAGCCAAAAGCTCAGGGAAGCCCCTATCTACCATTCCTAAATCTTGAGAGGAAAACCAGGAATCTAAGGTACAACCATAACACTGCTCTTTTTGGCTAGTTCCTCTGATGCAAAGTACTTCCTTCCCTCCCCCCCCCCCCCCCCGCCGCGCACACAACAATTCCCGTCCTGATGATCTCCTGGAACTGCAGAGGAGCCCTCAAGAGGGAGGAATGTCTCGGCCGGCTCAGGCCCCTCATCGATCGACATAGGATCACCATCCTCATCCTTCGGGAAACTCATCTCCGGCAACGGGAGATGATAATAGGTCAACTCAGTCATCGCCGCAATGCCTCTCTCTCTCTCTCTCTACACCCCAACGAACACTTCAATTTCCAACAAGAATATTTCTAGGATCTCCAAACCTTTTAGATATTTCTTTCGAAACAACGACCAAAACTAAAACAAGCTCACCCTCGTTATCTGGAACTGTGCATCACTCGGCCGGCCTAAGGTCGATGGAGGCCTGGGTGTAAAGGGGCATAAACCTAGTTAAATCCATCATAGGATGATGATCTGAGGAGCCATAAACGATGACTAAGGGGCAACGAGTATGGGTTGAACGCAAGTAGCATCGGTGGTGGCAACGAGTATGGGTGCACAGGTAAATTAAAATTAAAATTAGAGGGAAAGTAAATATTAAAAATATTATTTTATTATTATTTTTAAATTAGGAATAATAGAGGGATTGTGAATGATAAAAAAAATAGAATCGGTAAGCTCGGGCGTCTCATCAGACAAATTACGGCGCCGCCGGTTAAGTCACGATGCCGTCGAACCAGAGACACGTTTCGGTATTGATGTAAACGAACTTTGTCTCCAAGAATCGCGTCAATGCGCGTCGTAGCTACCGACCTCAATGCTGCGGGACCCGTAAAGACGTGGCCAATCAATGAACCGGTAGAGAGATGGGTACTGTACAAAGCGCGGCAAGAAGAATCGATCGAGCACCGTTATGGATAAGTCTCACCAAGTAGGAAAGACACGTAAGCAGGATTTTCCATCTCATCAGCCCCTGCTTCTCCATTTGCCCTTTAAAACCCCGACCGCCGCCTCGTCCGCACCGAGGCTCCGCTCCTCTGATCGCCAACGCTGCCTCCGAGTGATCCACAGTTGGACGCATCGATCGCCGCCTACCGGACCATCGCGGTACGATTCGTTCTTCTTTCCCCTCTCTCTCGTGAAACCCTCCCCGATTCGCTTGGTGCGGCTGTCGGAAGCAATCCCATGCTTGTTGAATGAAACCGGAAGCCGTGCCGTGTGTAGAGTCGAATGATTCCTAGTCGTTGTGTTTTGCTTTAGCTTTTGGATCGAATGAGCTCCCGATCTTTGTTTTCTGCCTTCTCTTCATCCGGTTTTGTTCCGCCTCTGTAGTTAGCTGTTCTGTAGCTTCTCCGATTCCGCCATTTTTGCCTCTGCCTGGTGCTTTGGAGATTACGGTTCGAAATCGGAAGAGGAAGGAGAGAGTCTGGAGACACAACCGATCGATCGGAAAGGGATGGTCCGAAGCGATCAGGCGAAGCCGGCGGGCAAGTCGATGTTGAAGCGCCTCTTCGAGAGGCAATTCGCCAGCGCGCCCCGGATCTCTCCGGAGGAGAGACTCGATTCCTGGGCCGACTTGGAGCCGAGCTCCGTTTCTCTCGACAGGATGATCCGGAACTACATGGAGGGGGAAAGCAACAACACAAGGAACCCTCCCGACGACGACCTCGCTGCAGAACCCACCATCGCATCCGCCGACGCCCGGGACGCCGCGGAGGCCGTTAAGGCAACCTAATCCGTTCTCGTCCATCCATTCGTCTAAAAACACCATAAAAATGGTTTTTTTTTTTTTTTTGTTGCGTTCTGACAGGGTTTGGTGCTCTGCACGAGTCAGACGGAGATAAAGCTCTTGGCAGATGCATCGAACCTCATGGAGAAGAGCAGGAATTGCAAGAGAAAAGAGGAGTACATCAAAGCTGTCACCGCGGGCCTTCGATCCCTCGGCTACGATGCATCCATCTGCAAATCTCGCTGGAAGAAAACCTCGTCAGTTGCAGCCGGTAGAATTCTGCTCTCTGCCTCCCATCTCTCTCTGGGTTCGCCTTTAATTCTCGATCGATTGGTTGATGGTATTGGGTCCATTGACAGGAGAGTATCAGTACATCGATGTGATCGTCGGCGGCGGCGAGCGGCTTCTGGTGGACGTGGACTTCCGGTCGGAGTTCGAGATCGCGCGGTCCACGAAGAGGTACCGTGAGGTGCTCCAATCCCTGCCATCCGTCTTCGTCGGGGAGGAGGACCGGGTGAACCAGATCGTGGCCGTCGTGTCGCAGGCGGCGCGGAAGAGCCTGAAGAAGAAGGGTCTCCATGTCCCGCCGTGGCGGAGGCCGGAGTACATGCGCGCCAAATGGCTTTCCACCTACTCGCGATTGACTCCATCGAAACCGAAACGACAAGCGATCGGAAGCGGGGAGTCGGTAGAAGGGTAGGGGATGGCCGACACCGGAGGCTGCGCCGCCAGGGTGGGGCAGCAACTCAGCGAGGCAGGGGAATGAACCCGCGGCGGCGATCTCGGCACTCACGTAAGGGCCGTGACTCATTTTCTTTTTCGAGAAATATATTATTGGGAAAATTATATATTATATATACGGTTGGAGTTCGAACCAAAAAAGAAAGGCTCAATTTGAACCCAATTACATGTTCGGGTCAAGCTCGAGTTCGACATGCACCAAATGTATCGACGTCGATAAAACATTAATTTTAAGATTTTTTTTCTGATATTTCCATTCCCTCTATCCTAATTGGATTGGCTAGGACTTCAAGCAAATAAAATAATTAGGATATAAAGGAATCATAAAAATTCTTGCTCGTTGTAAAGAAATTATTAAATCTGGATATTCTAAGCATAAATAGTAAAACTAGAATTTGATCATATACCCATCTTATCAAGTGAGAAAGACTGAATAAGTTCGATAGCTATCAAGTTTTTTAATTAAATTTATCATATGAGATTCTATAATATTGACATGATTTAAACGTGATAAAAAGATCGAGATAAAATCATACACATATATCATGACGAGTGATCAGAGTCTTTAAGAAATATGAAATTATTATTTCATATTTATTTGATCTTTTATCAAGTAAATTCACATTTTATTTTTATTTTTATCATTAAGTATTTTTATTATTAAAAATAAATATTTTAGATATAAAAATTGTATAGGATGATGTGAGTACCATTAATATATATATATATATATATATATATATATATATATATATATATATATATTCTTTTAATAAATATATTCAGTTGACTTGCAAACGTGGCCGGTCGGTCATCGTGTATGGAATTTTCTACTCGGAGACTTGAGATTATGGAGCATGTGCATGAGCTTTGGAAATCTTCAAAGTCAACGCAACGAAAAACATCGTTGCATGTTTGTGGAAGACATTTATCCGATAACGAGATACAAATATCCAAATAGTAATTGAACGAATCCTTTAAGCTTCGGCACAAAAGAAAAGAAAAGAAAAGAAATAGAAATCAATTAGCAAATTGCTCGCTCTGATGAACTTTCATTAGACCGCTGGATTTTTGCGACCATCGCCCTGTGGAAGAACTGCTCCCTCGCCAAACATCTCACCTGCTTGATGTAGTTTGCGAAGGTTACGGATCCCGCCGCTAGTGCTTCACCAAGAACCTCCACCGCGTCGTCGATGGCCTGCGCCGCGGCTTCGTTGTCCAGCAAGCATCGGTCGGTCTCGTCGGCCGCCTCGAATCCTTCTACCTCGTCCATGTACAAACAAGACTCGGTACCATGCGATTGCAGCCAATTCGACAGCACGTCCGCGTTATCCACCATCTGCTTCGCGGCCTCCTTCGACCTTAGCCGCTCGAGTTCCAGGTCTCCCAGTGCCCGGTCGATCATGTCAGTTCGCTCGCGCAGCGTAGCTTGCCTGCTACACAATTGCTTCATGTCCTCCTCGATTTGAGCCTGGAATCGCTTCACGTCGTAGTGGAGTGCAGCTACCAACCGGTCGATCGCCTCCCTCTTGGATGCAAGAGAAGCATCGGTGCGGCCGGGCGAGGTAGGGATGAAGCCGTAGGGGTGGCAAATTCTGAAGACCTTGACGAGGTTGCGCGCAAGATCGGAGAGGTTGGACTTTGGATACTGCCATGTCTGGAGGTAGGGCAGGACAGCAGAACCGGAGGGAGCGATAAAAGGGTGATCGTGTACCACCATCTGCTCACCGGTCGCGGGGAACACGTACACGATGGGTGCCACGAAGGGGTATGCTTGGTGCAACCATATGGTGAGGAGGACGGGCGGCAGGGACGAGGATACGGGCAAGACGCCATGAGCGTAGAGGAGGTGGACGGTGGTGCCGTCGTTATGGGTTAAGGTGTCTGACCCCGGAGAGAGGGTCCGGAAATCGTCGAACAGGGAGAGGAGGTCATCGCGGATGAGCCACTTTAGGCCATGGTGGACGTAGGAAAGGGCTCTGTCGCCGGTAGCCTCTAGGGCGGCCTCGATGAATCGGATCGAGGACGACGAAACCATTGCTTGCTGAACAGAGGAAGATGAAGGCTTGGAGACCGCACCTCCAGAGGGGGGGTTTATATATGAAGTGTCCTTCGAAGATTATATATATATATATATATATATATAT